TGATCCCAGCTATTGGCGGGGACCAGGATGTCATCGATATATGATCTGCGACCCAACACCGAAGGTTCGCCTGGATCCACTGGTTCTCCGTCTTCAAACACATCCGTCATACTTCCGTGATCTTCATACTTCGGGATCCGGGTGAACCCATACAGCGCATTATCGATCATGCGTTGATAGATCTGGGGCGCATTCTTCAGGCCAAAAGTCCATTCGATTCCACTCAAATACTCCAAAGGGAGTGATAAAAGCCGAGATCAAGCGAGCACGATCCGTCATTTTCACTACCCAAAATCCACTCGCCATATCCAAAGAACAGTACCAAGTGTCGCCTCCAGATCTTCAAGTAGGTCGTTGATCAAGGGCATTGGGTGGATCATCAGCTGAGTTAAGCTGTTAACCAGCCGATAATCGATACACAACCTGATATCCACTCCATTCTTCTTTATGATCACCACAATGGGGGAAGCCAATGGTGATCTGGAGTAGTTGATCATTTTGGCGGACAGTAGACCCTTGATCAGATCCGCTAGCTTCTCCCTGAACTGGATCCGCAACCTACGGCACTTGAGGGCGATCGGTCTCGCACCTCCGACGTCGATATCGCACACTACGCCTCTAGCGGCCGGCGGGAGGGCATTTCCTTTCCCGATCAGGAGGTGTCAGAACTTCCAAATCTTTTGGCGAAGTCGCTCGATCTCTTCTGGAGTTTGACTGTCAGATCCACACAGTTGAATATCGTCGATCTTCACATCTTCCAGGCACCTCGGGCAGCACCGCCATCTCACCATCGACATCTTCGGCGTATAAATCGCTTCCTTCATGGTAATACACACATTCATCATAATCTTGATCTGAGTCCCAGGTAAGATCCAGATTCGATGTGTCTGGTTGATCTTCCACAGCAGGTGATGGATCCATGTCCGCTTTCGGCGATATAGATGTGGTACACTCATCACCCAATGGAAATGGATCACGAGTCGCGTGTCCTGTCCGAGGCTGTACACTCATCATTGTTGGCAGATCTGATCCACCACATTCTGCCGGCGATATCTCTTGATCTTGATCCTTGGAATGTGGTTGATCCAGGCTGACATTCTCCACCACGTCTCGGTCACCCTCTTCTCCTGCTCTTTCCTTGTCTGTGGGTTCCCCTTCCAGCGGATCGGTTGCCCATATGTCCGATGTCGCTTGATCGAGGCTTTCTAGCGCCTCCTTGACCACTACCCCGCGCGACAGGGGGTCTTCGTCAGCGATAAACGATAGATCCGACTCTTCGCTTGCGACAGAAGCTAGATCCAGCGGTCGCTTGTCCGACGGCGACTCGTCCGACGGCGACTTGTCCGACGGCGTCTCGTCGGAAAATAAGCAGTCAGAAATGTCTTGATCCTGACTCGCCTCGACTTCCCGGTGCTGGATCAACGTTGTCCTTGGTCTTTGGAGTATTGTGCGTGGAGTTTCATACTCGGGCCGCTCCACCGCGGGTATCGGCGGATTCTCGGCCTCCACTTCTTCGGATGGGGTGTCCGTCGTGGCTTCCAGCGCCAGATTCTGCCACTCCATATAGCGGCGAGAGCCGATCGATATGAAACCTGGTGTTCGCGGCACATGGTCTCCTACCAGCCAGATCCCGATCCGTTGGTCCTGATGCAGAATCAACACTTCGTCCCCAATGTTGGCGATCGAGACGTATTTCATCCGCCCGGGCCCATCCGATATTGTTGGCACCCATCG